GCTTATAGCAGCAAAATCTCTTAATTAGTCTGTGCTTGTTTAACTGAAGCTCTGTACTGTCATGTAATTGATTAGAAGTGGAACTGCACTGGGATGAACTGGTATTTCCTTCAGCATGCCAATGAGTCTATTCAGATCAGACTCAGTTTTCAAATGAGCGACAGGATTGCTTTTCTCTGTAATTTGCCTTTTGGGTGAACTTGTGAAAGGGGCAGGATGGATTTTATAACAGATGGGCATACCCCTCCCTAAAGCACATGCCTAGTCCAGGCAGACTATGTGTTCTTTAACTGGGCTAGTGTCTAGTCCTGTTCAGTTCTGGGTATGCGGTGGCAGAGGGGACTCGGAGTTGGGGAATATATAAAAGAAACAGCACCATGGATGCTGTTCTACCACTTTGGTGATGCAAAATTTGAAGTTAAAGATGCTGTACTGCCAAGAGAAACTATAGCTGTAGTACTGGATGCTCATGCTGTGTGCATGCTTTACTTCTTCCAAGTGAAAAATCAAAGCATACAGCTAAAGGCAATAGTCTGGGGCTAACCCAGGTGCAGGAAAGGAAAGCAGAAGTGTTTAGAGGGCTGGAATTAGGCTACAGGCTTTATCAATGTTGCTGCATAATCAAGGAGTGTGAAAACACACCTTTGTTCTCCCCAGCAGCACCCAGCACGGACATGGCTGCGCAGGCCTTTCCTTGGCTCTCTGGAAGTCATTCGGGCAAAGCCACGCTGGCATAGAAACTCTTTTCACTGACATGCTCAGCTACCTGAAGAGGCTTTTTCCATTCCAGCCCTATCGGCAGCGGGCGGGCGATGGTGACAAGCCCCGGCTCAGTCTCCTTACAATAACGCTAGACAATAGCTACACAAAGCACAAGGAGCCATTCAGCGCAGAGGGTCAGAACGGGGAGCACTTTTTAACGAATCCGTGGCTGATTTTATCTAACAAAAATTACCACGGTTGTTGGCTCTGTCCCTGGGGTTGCTCTTTTATGACGCTTCACAAAGCCTCCCATCTGGGTCGACAGCACAGCATTAGGCTCTGCAGCGAGCTCAGTTTCTCAGGGACAGGCGGGGCTCTGTGGTTAGCAAAAGACTCTGAAATAAAAGTTTTCCTGTTTAGCACTCTGCTGATTCACTATTTCTGTTTTCATGCTTTTCACTTCCTTTCTGGCAGTTGCAATGCCTCTTCCCTCAACTCCTTTCATGTGCAAAATTTCCCTCTGTTCCCATCCGCCCCATTTTTCCTAGACCTTTGGAGCAGGCCAGACCCAGGTTTGGATGGGGTTTGCTGCCCTTAAGTAGCTCAGAGAGCGTCCCTGCTTCCCCACTGCCGCCTTCCTCTGGCCACAGCTCTTCCCTTACCCAAAAAGCCTCTGCTTCAGTGGGAATTTTGACTGAGGGCTCAGTAAAAAATGAGGAAAGAGTAGAGATTTAAATTCTGCTTCTTCCTGCTCCTTTTCTGTGGAGGATCATTGCTTCTCAGGAAATTCAGGATGTTGTAGGAAGGTCTTACAAACCATAGAGCACCTTGCATGCTCAATGAATAAAAGCATAACACAATTCTTACATGTTTGCATTTATAGATATGTAATTCTTACTCAGTGTAACATTAATACAGTACTGACTATAATGTAGTAGGGAGTAACTGAATTTTTCAGTGGTAGAAATGTTTAAGATATTGGGTTTGTTTGCCTTAAAAATGTTGCTTGTGAGTGACATGCTAGCAAAGTTCCTTCTGATTAAAATGTTAAACAAGTGAAATTTTCCACAGCAAACACTATGGAGCTCATTCTGCTCTTTCATGTAAGTCCCCACTGGACATGACAGTGCAGTGAGTGTCAGCAAGCTCAGAATGCTTTGAAACAAACTGATAGGTCAAATTCTGCTATTGCATGACTAGGGATGCCACAAAACCTTTTACAATTGCTGGCAGACTACAGCTGCAAGGGTTGGGTCAGAAATTAAGGTCAAGAGCAGAACTTGAAGTCAGTGAACTGTTGAGTGATTAAATGTTCCATGGTGTGATATATTTATTTGTTTTAAAGTAGTAGGTGACCGAAGAGCTTATTTTTCAATGTTGTTTTTGTTGATGTTGCAGGAGAAACACAGCACTTTAAAAATGCCTTTGCGGGGAATGATGCCAGTGTTCTGGGGTTACCACTTGCTTTCTATTCAGGGATGTATGCCTATTCAGGCTGGTAAGTTCTTGAAACCTTGAATTATTTGTCCTGAAAACAGACACTAATATGCTCTAAAAAAGACATTTGTTTGTATGAAGAAATGAGCAGCATGGTCTACATCTTTTGCCAAACTACATCATGTATTAAGGGTAGATCTCACCACTGTCCGATATGCTCAGTAATTATTCTGCAAGCAGCTCTACAATGGAAAGATTTTTCTTCTCCAGTGTACAATAGATAAACACATACTGAACACTAAAAAAATCAAACTTTTATTTCTGTTCTTAAGACTAGAAATAAAGGCAACAAGAAAGAAATGTTCTGAAAATTTCGTTAGGTATGTTGAAGAAAGGACAAAAAGGATAATGAAAGTTTAATTTTTGTTGAACAAGGCAGTAAATACATGAAAAGCAAATCTATGAACTGTTACAAAGTTGTGTGGACCTCAGCCTTTGCTTTGTAAGAGCAGTATTTGAAGAATAATAAACGAACCATGATAACATCTGTATAGACCACAAAACGAGATAAAAACCCTAGATTCTTATGCCTATTGCTCCAAAAGAATAGGACCTCACTTAACAAGAAGTGCAACTGGCTTCCATAGAAGTCAAGTACTATTGACTGTGAGCAAAGGTGTGAGAATCTGCCTTCAAGTACAAGAACTTTCTTTCAAGTTCTTTCCCTCTCCTCCACCAAAGTACACAGCAGCTGATTTGAAAGGTGCCGCCACTCTTTGAATGTGCCTTACTATTTATTCATGCTTAGGGAGGGCTCCACATCGCACAGCGCCAATGTGCTTTTCAAGCAGCAGTGTGTGTATGGGGAAAAAAGGACTACAATGCACAGAGTGGGCTTATTTTGAGATAACTTTGTCTGCAGTCTTCCCTTTCCCTTCCACAGCCTCACAGGCAGCCTAGTTCTTTACCCTGCATGAAAGGCGAGGGCTGAGAGATAAGGGTTTTATTTATTTAATTCAGAGGGACAATGGGCCGAGCATTTGAGTTCTCTGCCTGTCTGTAAGTCCCCGGTTGCAGGAGCATTAAAAACATGCACAGTGAAGTAAGGAAATATAAGAAAAGAGCCTGGCATTTTGAAGCCTCAAAGAAGTGGAACTCATTATGCAGACAGTCTCTACCTTCTTCCCCCTCTCTCGTATAACTGCCTCTGTCTCACATATCCATATGTGTGATGGTTTCTCACTTTTAAAATATTAACCTAACTGTACATTTTTCTATGAAGGCAATTTTAAAAGCTCTTTAATATTATTCATCACTGAGATAGAGTTTGTTTACTGTAAAATTCTACGTCAAAAATACTGTTATTCTGTTTCTTCTTTCCCATTTCTTTCCATTTTTCACCTAACATTCCAAACCCCTACAATAAAAATAATCTCTGTTTTTCTGTTACACCTTCTGACTTTTATTTTGGGGTCCTTATTTGACACTTATAAAAGAAATTAGCAGGAAAAGACCCAATTTGGCTAATGGTTCTTCCCAGCTGCCTATTTGTCACCAGCTCAAATTGATTGCCTCAGAGCACAGAAGAGCAGACCATTAAGTGAAGTGTCAATACCCTTGCACTATCAGTTTCATGGGGCTAAATCAGTCCAATAAGCTGAATGTGAAGGAGTGTTGCAAGTGTTGGTATTGTGTCCCAGGATGCAGGCAGAATTTTATGCATAGCCTATGAGACTATTAACTTTTAATGGTACAGCTTTAAAAAACAAAACGAAGGTAATATCTTTTGTATGTGTAGGTTCATCCTGTGAGGAGCAAGTGTAGGCTATTGGGTAAATAAAACGCTGGGTGAAAAAGGACGAGTAGAGAAAAGAGTGCAAGGAAGCATGTCTTTGTGTCAATAAAAGGACTGGTGCAGCGCTGTCAAATTACTTCTGTCTAGAAGCAGGGCTAAGAACAGAAAGAAGTAGCTGAACGTCTTACTCATCAGAAGCCATCTTTCCTTTGAACTACCCCAACCTCTTCTTTTGTGCTCTGTGCACCATCAAGTTTAGAAACAAGTACTGAGGTTGTATAAGATGGCAAATCTAGTTTTACAGAATTTCATGCTTGGTCACAAAATCACCTTTTTTAAAACTGTGAGCCAGCACTAACTCATTCTGCTAACCCAAATCTGGTCCAAGGCTTGTGATGGAGAAAGATTCCCAGACTTTCTGCCAGATCAGGTACCATTTGTTTATTCACTGTAGCACTGTTGCGTCAGATATAATTTGTCTTCCTGTATAAAAGTAGAAAGCCAGCATAAACACTGTATTGACTGCTCTGTTTAATTAGCCAAGATGTGACTTTGTGCCCATATCTGAGCCAGGCACATCTGTGTGATCCAGCGATGCACAGACCCAGTGCTAACAAATGCAGAACAGAGGATTCAGTGACTGTGAGGCTTACGGTTCCTTTGTAAACAGGGCTGTGCTCAGTGAGTAGTTCCTATGAATTCCTGTATGTATCTGTCTCTTGCATCTGCTGGAATATGACCAGAGTGCAACCTGTACTGGAGGATGTGCAAGAACATGCAGGATTAGCAGCCTGGGTTTGTGACCGTATATGACACTAGTGTCAAAATCCTAGTTTTAGGATGGGTTTTTTGAGGCTTCATTTATTTTTATTTTTAAGAAGTCCTTGCTGAGTACCCTGATGAGAATTTTTGCCAATATAACCTGAAATTGTAAAAGACTACAGCCACAAATAGAATATGAGGCTTGAGGGTGTGTGTGTGTTTATGTATAGGATTAGGGTAAACCATATTTTGCCTAGTATGCTGGGGAAAAAAAATTAATTTAATTCCACACCGACATTGAATAGCTTTTGGTTTTTTTTCTGCTTTCCTGTCTTTTCTAAGCATTCCTTTCCTTAGTGTGGGGATGAGGGAAGGTTAAATCTCACACTCTCCTTAATCCAAACATGGGTCTGCAAAGTCTACTATAGTTAACAGCAGTGCTTGACTAAAGGCGTCTTGTTAGTTCTTTGGGAAAGAAATACAGAATCAATATCTACCAAGCCCTTATAATACATTTTATAACTCTTTTCTAGGTTTTACCTCAATTTTGTTACTGAAGAAGTGGAAAACCCTGAAAAGTATGTACCTAATGTTTTTCTTGACTTTTGAAAAACATCTGTAAAATTTAAAATGTTATAAAAGTAGTGATCTTCAGAAACTCTGCATGCTGGTCAAGTTGTGTGCTTTCCAGCAGATCTGGTATCTATTTGAATTGCAACTGCTTGAAGATTTGCTATTTTTGGCCTGTTGTGACCTTGTTATGTATTCTGCTTTTATGTGCACAGAAAGCAGAAAACTAAGTAGATCTCCAGGGCTCTGATTCTCCCCCTCAGGACACAAGTAACTATCAGTGGCTCCTTTTAGTGGAAGTTACTGGTATCCTGTCAGGGAAATCTCGCCCAAAAAACTTCTCTGCTGCAATATTTGGCAGTTTTGCTATGTTTAAATATTAATCAAATACTTAGTTCTACTTGTTTTAGATGTCTCACAGTTGCAGGATCTTGAATACACACAGCACAGCATACGATCCAATTAAGCCAAACGGGGGGATATAGGTGGGAGTCTATTTCAAACCAGAGACGAATACTCTCACAGTGCCTGTCTGTAAAATATGGAAAGAAGAGCTGTCCTGTTAGGAAGAGTTTGATTTGGCAGGTCTATTTTGGTAGATATGTTTTGGTACATGCAGCCATTAGTAAAATAATATTAACCTTTTCTAAAAATTAAAGAAAATATGCCTTGTCAAATGAAATTTTGTTCTGTGAGGAAATTAACAATTCACTTGACTAAAAACTAAGGGGTAGATACAATTTTCTTGGGTTTTTTTAAAGAAGATACCTGGCTGGGTACCAAATAACATACTATTTAAAAGCACCCCCAGAACTGTATGCTCAAAGAATATGAAGCTACACATCTGAGACAGGTAGAGAAAGAGAAAAAACCCCAAACAGCTGTCAAAGGGGAGCATGCAGAAGGTTTTTAGGTGGTTTCTTCAATGTCTGAACCAAGTCTGGTGCGGTTCAGTATTTTCTTCAGAGACCTGAAAATAATTATAAAGAAACTGGAGGTAAACCAGGAGGATGGCAGAAAGACTGGCAGATTTGGATTGTTGCAGTGCCTTTGAGGGGTCTTGGGTGTCAACGGACTCTTTAATGTGATCAGGATATGTATAGCAAGGAATGTATGACTGGAAGCTGAAACCAGACAAATGCAGGTAGAAAATACAGCATTAATATTTAACAAGGTGGTTGACTAATCATCGGCACAGATACCTGTGTGCAATTGGGTTTTTCACTGTTAATCTTCAGTTCAGAGCACTTTTTTAGAAGCCATACTTTAGGTAAAACACGTCCTTTGGCTTGGTGGACAGCAGCTGGCTAATGCTTCCCAGGGCTGGGACACACAGGAACTTAGGCTAGATGATCTAGCAACAAATCTGGGTTTAACTACCAAGGGATCTGTGTGTTTATAAAGTCAGGGGAGGCAGACATTTAAAAACAAAAAAACCCCACATTTTTTGCATTTGAAAAACTGTTGTGTGGCAGACTGACTTGAAAAGAAATGTGAAACTACATAAAGGAGTGAAGTATTTCCAGTCCAAGACTTCTACCGCTTCAGGAAATTCTGGGGAGATGGATTAGGAGCCCGAGTCTTGCTGATGTGATCAAAAGCATTTGCTAGAAGCAATATAATTTGTAAATTATCATGTAGTTACAAGCAATACTGTGTGGCATTTTTAAACAGGCATATGCCTACCACCCTTTGGGAATTTTCATACACTTATATGCCTCTGCAGTCCTCTTAACTGCATGGTGATTAACTGAAATTATTGGTAATTTTCATTACAGCTATTTTGGTTTATGTTGACTTTTTTCCTTGTGGTTTGAGTCAGAGGAGTGCATAGTTTTGAACGTGTTGGCCTCTGCTGTGTTCAGCTGTGTTCTTCATTGCAGCTGGGATGCGAGGAAGGGAGACACTCTTTTTTCCGCCCTCATCCTGGGAGAGGTTCTTTGTTATCCTTGTTACCCTTGGAGAGCTGCTGAAGTTAATTGTGCTGCTAATGCAGGATGCAGGACCAGGGGGCAAGCCATATAGCCTGGCTGGTTCGGTGTATTCCAGGATGGCTCTGGAAAAAACACCTCCATGTTGCATGTGCAATGTTGTTGTAAAGCTGTTAAAGCTTCCGTTCATCATTCTTCTTCTTGGGGTTGCACTTTGAGATGAAGATGCTCAGTGTTTACAGCAGGGTGCCTGGGATCACAGTCTCCATGCAGAGGTACAGGTATACAGTAGAAGAGACAGGGCTTTTAAACATTGCTAAATAAGTGACAGGTGATGACAGGGTGAATGGATTGCTACCAGCTGTGCTGACAGAGACCTCTGCACCACCCCTAAGTGGGGATTCTGGACTCAGTTACCCCAAAACAATGAAACAGGTGGAATAATTTTTTTTATCCAGTTGCCACCTGTGAATGGCTCTGTTGGAAAGACGTCCTGGTGAACAGGGGCCTGGTCCACCACCGTTCCCAAAGACACAGGGCGAGGGAATATCGTGGACTAATCCTATGGGCAAGTGTCTTGGCTCCCACCAAGCTCAATGCAGGCGTTAGGTGAGCCGCTAATCGTGCTGCTATTGTAGGTGTTTATCAGAACTCCACTGCTTTTTTTTTTTTTTAATATACCTAAAATGCCATCTTTCCTTTCATTCTTACTGTATGTTTTATGTTAAAGGTTGCATACAGTGCTGTGGAGGTATTACGTAGCTGTTTTTGAAAGGGAAGAAGGAAGTAGAGGCTTGAACCACTTAGAGCCTGTAACAGCTCCAAGTATGCAATTTGTAATATTTGTCAGTGGTTAGGGATGCAAATTACCTACAGCGACAGAGGTGAGCATGGTGATGCCTTCTGCACCGCGCATGCCAAGGTAAATGTTTGCCTGAGAATCAGTCACAGTCACGTATTTCCAGGTGTGCGGCAGCTTTTCAAGTAACTGACAGCTGGTGCCGAGATGGATGATCAGCGCCGTCCCCACGCCAACCAGCCTGCTGCAGACCCGCAGCGAAGTGTACCGAAAGAGTTGTGGGGAGGGTAGCGCAACCCCGGCAACGGGAATGCAGAGTTGCTCTGGCAGAGAGAGGAGTTGCAGCGGAGCTGCCAAGGGCCCATATTTATGGAAACCTGGCTTTGAGCTCCTTTTTACGTGATGAGGCCTGGACTCCCGCTCTGCCTTTGCGGTATTGTGGAGGGGGAGGGAGAGAGAGATGGGTCGGGGCCCGGGAGTATACCCCCAAGTGCACAGGAAGGTAGGAAACATCTACTTTTAGACAATAAAGTTTTCCAGATAGGGATTGCTGTGTTTGCTGTGTGTGTGCGGTGCCAGGAAGGCTTGCTGAAGTCCAGCAAATGCCATTGGAAATATAGGCGAGAGGCAGGGGAAGGGGGGATGCTCGTGACCTTGCCCAGCTGAAAGCCGCCTTTGTGCTCCCTCGGAGTGGCAGAAAGGGCTCCTGGAGGCTGTGGGAGTCTGTGTAGGTGCAGCAGTCTGCTCAGGCACAATCAATTGTAGATTATGTCCATAAATAGGATAAATACTACGGGCCCGAGGCACAGACATACCTAGGTGATATGAAATGCCAGATAGGGAGAGCTGACACAGATGCAGTGGAAATGAGCCAAGTGGAGAGCAAGCACCCTTTAAGTTACAGAAGGGAGAATGGAAAAAGGAAAAAAAAAATCTGAAAGTGAATGGCACTACTTTTTGAACAGACTTTTGTAAGTATGCTGAATTCTCACTTTGGAAATGTCATGGTTCCTTCTTTTGTGTAAGAAAAAGGACATTATTATAACCCCAGTTATAGTAAGATGTAAAAGTAGTTGTTTCTGTCTCCTGCTAAAGCCCCTTTTGATGTCTTATTTTTAAGCCTGGACTCATTTCTTTATTCTTCTTTGTTAAAGTCCTTCCCTCATACAGCATTAGTAGGACCTGAAGCAACATGAAGTTGATGTTTGTTTTACAAGGAGCTGTGGCTGCAGTGTTCAGTTGCTTTAATGTACAGTTTTATTTAAAAGAGCCTGAAATAATTTTATTATCAAGAATATGTGGAACAACGTTGAAGCGTAATAACAAATTTCTTTTACTTTTGAACGTTACGCTTCACATATGTGTGCTGGGTTGATAGCGATTGCTGCTTGAAATGAAATATCTGAATAATCCTTGAAGCAGAGCTTCACCAAAATAACCTCATGCAGCCACGTCTCGTGCAGCTTTGATCTTTTTGGTTTTCTTACATTATAAGGATCAGCCCTACTCAAACTGAGGTCGTATTGCATTGTCTAAATAATAAGTGAATGAAGGAACAGCCGGGTCTCTAAGAGAGAATTTGTCACCTGAAAATTGGCAGGACCCGTGTTGCCTGGAGCAGTAAATTTAGAGGACTGGAAATCAAGCATGTTGAACTTTCAAACTTATTTCTTATATATAGTCTTTGAGCTCATCTGTATTCTTAAGCATCCACTCTGTACTCTCAAGAAACAGACCAAGCTTTTTCAGTCAAGACCTTAAAAGCCGTTCATGCCCGAACAGCAGTTCCCTCCTCCCTTCCCAGGCAGAGTGGAGTCGAGGATCAGCACTCTGGTTTGTCAGGAATTTTGACGGACTCCAGATGAGAAATTAACACAGGAGTGTTCTTACATTACAGCAATGTCTTCAGAGCCTCGTCAAAGTCAGGGCCAGATTGTGTCAGACGCTGCCCAGAGAGAATCCTGCTTTAAAAAGATTATGTTCTATGTCCTCAGTATAAGCAGATGATGAGCCCAAATGCTTCACGTTATAAAGATTAGGTGGCTGTTGGAAGAGAAAGAAAATATTATTTCACTGTGAGGGAAAGGAAACTAAGACTTGGATTCCTTAACGACTTCAAGCAGGACTGTGAGAAGTGGACAACTAGAGGTATTGATTCACAGTCCTCCTTTAACTCAAAATCATGTTATTTTTTGTCAGTGGAAGTTTTTCTTAGTGTTGTTGAACTTAGGAAATATTTTTCCTTTAGTGGTCTTCAATTTCAGTTGTATAAAATGAT